ATAAAACATTTTTTTAAATTTAAAATGACATACCAAAAAAAGTTTTTTTCTATTTTTAATTTTATAAACTTTATTTTTAAAAATGTGTTTGCATTTTTATTTATTTAACTTTTTTTTTTAAAAATTGTCTTTTTACTTTTATTTTTTTTAACTTGTTTTTTTATTTTAATGGTGGGAGCAATAGCCAGCCTGCTATTGGATATTTCAAATTGCAATAGCCAATAGCAGGCTGGCTATTGCATCTGCCCACTGCCTGCTGTCAATCAGCAGAGGAGGGGCCTGAAGGAGAAAGTTCTCTATCAGGTCCTCCGAAGCTGATAGGCAGTAGGCGGGTGCAATAGCCAGCTTGCTATTGGCTATTGCATTTTACAATGTCCAATAGCAGTCTAGGTATGGCTCCCAGCCTGCAGATGAAAAGGAGGCAGGGGGGCGGAGCAGAGGAGCCACGGCCGGACCAGAGGAGCGGAGGATCGTCCGGACCGGGGAAGCCGATGGACCGGCGAAAGAGGAGGCCGGGACAGCAGCGGAGGTACGGGGGACAGTGGAGGAATGCAGCGGTCTGTGTCCCCGCTGCCTCCGCCAACACAGGTGGGGAGAGCAGCGGGGATTTGAAGGGACACAGGCCGCTGCAGCCACAGTTCTCCTAGGTGTACCAGCAGCTGGCGGCTGCTGGTACATTTAGGTGAACTGTGGACCCAGTTCTTAAGTACAGATTGTCCGTAAGTCGGGGATTGCCTGTACACTGCATTTAATGTTCCTATTGTAACAAAATGACCTTCAAATAGCAAAAATACTCCACACTGAATTCTTTAAATTTTTCCAAAAATTTTAATTTTTCCCCAGAAAAAAACAATTTCTCAATTTCAGGAAATTTTACATTTCTAGTTTTGGGTAAGTTTACGAATATTTGTTAAGAATACCACAGAAACCCATATACAGATATTAATACAAAAGCAAAATACAAAGAATGCCATTCGGGTTTGGGAGCCTCAGCCTTAGTAATATATGTATATGGCCCCCAGACCCGAATGGCATTCGGGAGCTCACAAAAGGAATTCGGAAATTCAAATCCCTAATGCCATTCGGGTCTGGGAGCCATGTACATATATAACTACAGCTTAGGCTCCCAGACCCAAATGGCATTCGGGAGCTCCCAAATGCAATTTAGAAATTAGGATCCCGAATGCCATTCGCGGTCTAGGAGCCTCAGCTTTAGCATTATATGTATATACTGAACACAGCTTTTTGTTACGGCAACATGGGAGCCATATACCATATGGCTCCCATGTTACCTTAACGAAAATTCGCGTTCAAACCCATTAACCGATAGTTAGCCAGAAAAGTCACATGCTTGATTCAGTTTTGTTTTTGAACGAAATTCGGATGGGATCCGAAATTTGGAAACAGACATTCGGATGCATGGGGATTCGGAAATTCGTATGTGTCCGAATTATGATTCGGAACTAAACGAATCGCACATGTCTAATCCCAATCCTGGAGTATGGATCACACTTGCTACAAATGCTTACCTGTATGGTTGGGGAGAGCATTGCTTGTGTCATCAAGTCCAGAAGAGGTAGTTGTCACTAATCCAACCCCCAACTTTTCCCCACTCCCCGTTTTCAAAATAGTTTTAGTTGCAGGTAGCAATAGAGGCACAGATAGACTTTTCCAGCTTGTTGGAAGGCACACAAGGCAAAGTTGTAAAGTGCACATAACAGCAGTGGTGTATATAGCCAAGCAAAGCAGGATAAGATACCTTCCCCTCTTGAGCCTGGCCTCGGAAATGTTCCATTGGTCAGAGGGTCATGTGCTGGCAGTCAAGAATTTCCATGCGTTCAGAAAATAAGAAAGTAGATCCCCTGAGTTGCCGCTTTTGCACAGGAATGAATGGATGCTGGACTACAACCTACTGCACGATTTGTGTAAAGATTCCCTGCATTGGATCTGATGGCCTCTTAGTCCAACCACCAGCTATCACTGTTCTGCTCCCAGTTCAAGTGCCGTCTAGCTCTTGGACAGGATGCTCTGTTGTAGAATTGGGACTTTTCTCTAGTGTATGCATATTCACCTATGGGTCTCATCCAGTGGGTTCCTCAGAAGATCCAGAAGCAGCATGTGGAGGCTATAGCTATCCAGGGATCCCAACCTGAAATAAGTCATTTCAGGGAGGTGCCCTTCTCATTTCAGGGAGGTGGCCTCTGTCAAGCCCCCCCCATCTGCAGGGGGGTACAATAACAGGGAAGAGAGCACCCGCCTGAAATGATGGCAGATAGCAAAGAAGCCATGGCTTCCATTGCTATCTGCTGTTTTTCTTAGTATTCTGACAGCTGCTGTTGTTAGAATAAAATAAAAAAACAGCAAAGGAATTAATAGCTAGATTGCTATTGGCCATTTCAATTTGCAATAGCAACCTGGCTATTGCACCCGCCCTCTGCTGCTGTCAGTCAGCAGAGGAGGACCTGATGGAGAACTTTAGGTCCACCTCTGCTGACTGACAGCAGCAGTGGGCGGGTGCAATAGCTAGTCTGCTATTGCAAATTGAAATAGCCAATAGCAATCTTCCTATTCATTCCTATGCCGTTTTTTTTTTTTCTGACTGACGGCGGCCCTGATGCCAAGAAAACAGATAGCAGGGAAAGATTTACTCTGCTAGGTCGAGCATAATAAAACCTTTCCAGGAGAAAATGTTTTTCTCCCGGGTGTTGGGATGTCTGCAGAACACCAATGTTAAGGGAGAGCTACACTAACAAGAGAGAGAGAGAGGGAGACAGACATGGTGGAGGGAGAGAGAGACATGGGGAGAGAGCAGGGGAAACAGACATAGCAGAGAGAGAGAGGGAGATATAGCAGGGAGAGAGATATAGCAAGAGAGAGAGAGAGATGGGGAGATAAATAGGTAGGAAAGAGAGAGACATAGTAGAGAGAGAGAGAGAGAGAGTCAGACATAGCAAAGAGAGAGGGAGAGAGACAAACAGCAGAGAGGAGAGGGGTGAGAGAAATACAGCAGAGGAGAGAGAGGGGGGGGAGTGAGAGAGAGACATAGCAGAGAGAGAGAGTGTGACAGATCAGAAGAGACAGAGAGGAATTTGCTGATTACATGTTACAGATACAGCCCTCAGAGAGTTGGATTGATGTTCCTCTGGCGGGAATTTGGGGATTTCTAGGACTCTGGCCTAATATAGAGTGCATTAAAAGAAGTTTAAGGGCTTGTTCACACCGAAAGCGTGTGCGTTCCAGAGCGGTAGCGTTCGAATGCGTGGCAAAACTTTTTTTTTTGCCAGGTGTCCGATCATATTGCAGGCGGGGAGAGCGTGGAAGCGGTGCCATTGAATACAATGCACCGCCACGCCCCCAAAACGCAAGGGGAAGTTTCTCAGCGATCGCGGTGCATTCCGGCAGCTGCCGCTCTGGAACGCACACGCTTTCGGTGTGAGCAAGGCCTTAAGAACAGCACTGTGACTCCTGACAATGCACACACACATACATGGCCCCCGCACCTCTACATTACCACAATACATACATATCACATACAAAGGTGGAAATGGACTTTAAAAAAAAAAGATGCAGTGGAATAGTTCCTCCAGAGTATGCAAAATGTTCCTTGAGCAATGGAGGATTGATCTCCTGCCTGACAATAAATGTAACGGGCAACTACACTGCCCGGTAGTGTAAGGGGATCCTTCTCCCACTGACCACTGATATAAGGGACACCATTCCCACTGACCATTAATACATGTTTTTTTTTTGTTTAGCCCATGCCCACGTGCATCGAAAAAACACTTCCCCCTGTGAACAAGAAAAGTGAACCGTGAAATCACAGCACACAAAAATGTGCACAAGGGTGCTTGGTCCTTCAATAAAGAAGGGACCTCGATTCCCAACCCCCGGGGTGCAAGGCTCCTGACAGGGGTTGAGACTGTTGGTCCACCAATCCGAAGGCTGGTGGACCCCGATCCTTTGGAGACCTGCCAGAACAGGTCCCTCACAGTACTAGGTGGGGAGCTCTCCCTAAGAGAGACCCCCCAGGGTGGGAGGAGACAGAGAACCCTATATTAGCGCACAGAATCTCCTCCCCACATCGGGAAAAGGCCCCAAAGGAACCTGCACCCGCTGCATGTGGGTCAAAATTTTGAAAATAAAAAAGTGCCAAACGTGCAATAAATAAATAAAGAGTGCCAGTGCACCATGCTGACAGGCCCTAGGGGCCGGAGTGCAAAAATATTGCCCCGGACTAGCCATAAGGCCTGTCTCGGAGGCATTGGGCAGAAAATGCAATGTGGTGTGTGTCCATGTGCATCAGTGAGTCAAAGTGGGGTCCCACACCCATGTGACTTTCTGACCATTAATACAAGTTGCAGGGATCCCAACCTGAAAGAAGCAATTTCAGGGAGGTGTCCCTCTCATTTCATATACGGGCCGCGGCTCCCGATGTCAGAAAAGAAAAAAAAAACGATCGCAGGGAAAGGTTTATCTGCTCGATCGAGCAGATAAACCTTTCCGGGAGGAAGTGTTTCTCTCCCGGGCGGCCGGGAGCTGCTATCTAATAGCGGGAGACTCCCGGAGCATCCAGGAGAGTTGGGATGTCTGAAGTTGGCTCTTCTCCACAGACCACCAATGTTATTGGGGATCTACACTGACCAACAGTGTCAGGGGGTCACTTCTCCACAGACCACCAATGTTAAGGGAGAGCTACACTGAACATCAGTGTAAGGGCCACTTCTCCAGAGATTGTTTTACAAAAAAAAGACAAACAATAAAGAGATGAAAAATGCCTTTTTCCTGATTTGACTAGTATCAGCAATTAGCATTAAAAAAGTAGTTTTCTCCGCAGTGTCGTCTCATGGAAGCATCATGGACGAACCCGTTTCCATGCGGAGGTGGAACTACATTTCCCAGAGTAACCGCAGCTCACGTCACGATGCACACAGTGACTGGACACATTGAAGAACTTTATTGACAAGCAGAGTGGAATAACAAAAGCCGGAAGGCGTCAGAGCTCTTCGCCCGGCACCGGAAGTCGTATTTTTCTCAGGAAAGATGGCAGACGTGACTGTGCGCTTTGCTCCTGTTGGCGGGTTTGAGTTCGGCAATTGCAGACGGTGAGAGCTGGCGGGATGGTTGGCGAGGAGAGGAGGAGGATACGGTCTACCGGGAGGGAGCAGGGAAAATACACTCGGGAAGGATGGGGACAGTATACAGTGTCCCATGAGAAGGCAGAGGAGACTTGGAACTGGACACACTCGAGAATGACGGGGACAGTATACGATGTTAAAGGAGGGGCAGAGCTGGACACACTCAAAAAGAAAGGGGGCAGCACATGCTGTATCAGGAGAAGGCCAGGGGGGATCTAGAGATGGTCACGGGAGGAGGGGGGCAGTATACGGTGTACTAGGACAGGGCTCAAAATTTCAGGTCCTGAGCTACTAGCCAGGCCTTCAAAGTTACTCGCCACCAGTTGCCCTGCATAACACAAACACACAGGGCACAACGCGCACACACCACAACACACATACAGCCACATCACAACGCACAGGGCATTACACATACACATTTCATCTGAAATTAATTTTTAGTCTTCGCACATGTCTAATAATATGCGTGTGAGGGGGGGCCGTTTTCACTTTTTTAAAATAATTTTTTACATTTATTAATTTTTTATTTTATGATTTATTTATTTTTTACTGTTGGGGGGTCTTCGGGGAAATATTAGGGGTCCAAACAGACCCCAGACATTTCCCTTGTAAAATAGAAAAGAAATTGAGGACACCAAATCCTCAATTTCTTTTTCAGCAGCCTCAGCACTCAGTGAATGGGAAGCACTCAGTACAGAGTCTTCTCCCATTCAAATATTTACTATCAGCTGTTTCTGAATGGGGAGGAGCCTCTGTACTGAGTGTTTCTCCCCATTGAGAAATTCTTGAATGAACAGGCTGTGATGTGAATCACAGCCTGTTCATTCATAACTGGGGACACATAAGGCTATGTGTCCCCAGTTATTTACAAACACTGGAGTGATCAGACGATCGCTCCAGTGTTTGTCCTTCTCACATGGAGGATCGGTAAATATCATTGATATTTACCGATCCTCCGCTCGGCCATGCACACTGACACTGACAGGATGACAGCGGCTCCGATCTCCAACCTGCTCGGCCATCCTGACAGCTGCGGGCGCGGCTTCTCTCCCCCCTCACCGCTCCGCCAGCCTGACAGCAGGCAGCGCTCCCTCCTATGCCCCCCTGCTTGGACGGACGAGGGAGCGCTGTCATCAGGTCGGTGAACAGGATAGAAGCCGCCCCGAGGAGGCTTCATTTCCACTCGCCCCCACGCAATTTTCACTCGCAAATTGCGAGGGGGCGAGTGGAAATTTTGAGCCCTGTACTAGGAGATTGTCAGGGGGACCTAGAGATGGACACATTAGGGAAGGAGGGGGCAGTATATGGTGCTCCAAAAGAATGTCAGGGGACCTAGTAGAGCTGCAGCTAACGATTATTTTCAAAATCGATTAGTTAGCCGATTATTAGGTTCGATTAATCGGTTAATCGGATAAACAATAAAATAAAGTTTAAAAAAAGGCTCCAGTGATGGGACTACTAGTTTGTTTTTCACAGCGTGTGGAGCTGTGAACAGGGCCAACTGATCGGAAGCCGATTAATCGATTATTGAAAAAGTTGACAACTTTTTCAATAATCGATTATAATCGATTAGTTGTTGCAGCCCTAGGACCTAGAGATGGAATCATTAGGGGAGGAGGGAAACAGTATATGGTGCACCAGGAGGAGACTGGGGAGGGCGACTTAAAGCTGGGCACACAGGTTAAGATTTATTGCAGGATACAATGAAAAATGCAGACTTGATGGACCACTAGATCTTTCTCTGCTGGCACTCTTATAGGTTTCTTATTTACTACACAAGTGGGGCTCTAGCCAGAACCATATACATATTTGTTTTAAAATGCTGTTTATTTATGCTCAGAAGGTCTACCAAATGTCAAGGCAATAAATCATTAAAATAATGTTTGTCCCATAGAAATGCTCTTCTGGAAAAGGAGTTTGTACAGAAAGGACACAAGCTCCCAGCAGCTCGGAAAACTGGTACCACGATTGCTGGTATTGTATTCAAGGTATTATTACTAGCATGATCCCATTGGGAATGTTTGCTTGAGGTTGTCTTTTTATATTTATGAACTGCAGAGGAATACGAGTTGCAAACTAAATTGTTTTCATGTTTCTTGGTTAAAGGGAAATTACATCTTTTAGAAAAATATAATAAATGCACACTTCATAAAAAAAATGTGCATTTATTTTTTTTTGCATTGAAGCACGTAAAGCATTGCAACCAAGATTAGTGGATGCTCTGACTCCTGCAGAATCTTCCTCCTGTCCATGTCCGTACCACGTTATGGACTTTCAATAACATGGACAGAATCAAGAATGAGTGGGCTAGGAGTGCAGTGACTTTACTTCACTTGTATCACATTGAAAACTAGAAGTCCCTCTGCCATGGTGGCTGATGGGACACTTGTAGTTTCTCCATTCACAGATCCTGTCAAAGGATCTGAATGGAGGATATGGCTGTGTGGGTGGAGCAGTGCCACATCCATGCCATATTCAAAAATCCACACCAGCCTGTGGGGAGAAAAACCTCACAATTCAGGTGGTTCGCGATCTGACCTTGTTTCATGTCACACCCTGAATGAAACATGGTCAGAAAAGTAAACGTAGCCTTTAAATAAAAAAACGTGTTACCAGTAGACTGCAGTAGTGGAATGCGAAATTTTTTTTGTGCTTTCAAAGTGACACTAAACTGAATACATTGTACACTGTATATATAATGTATTGCTGGGATTGTTGTTCTCCTATATAGCTGGTGGTATTCTGCATTGCGCTGTATAGAGGACTACAAATCAAGGAATAATACATTATACGTTGCAATGCGGAATACCACCAGCTATAGAGGAGTACAAAAAATCCCAGCAATAGTACATTATACAGCGCAATGCAGAATACCGCCAGCTATGATATACTATTGCTGGGATTTGTTGTAGTCCTCTATAGCTGGTGGTATTCTGCATTGCGCTGTATAATGTACTATTGCTGGGATTTTTTGTACTCCTCTATAGCTGGGGGTATTCCGCATTGCAACGTATAATGTATTATTCCTTGATTTGTAGTCCTCTATACAGCGCAATGCAGAATACCGCCAGCTATGATATACTATTGCTGGGATTTGTTGTAGTCCTCTATAGCTGGTGGTATTCTGCATTGTGCTGTATAATGTACTATTGCTGGGTTTTGGAGTCTTCTTTAGCCGGTGCCATTCTGCATTCATTGCTGTGTAATTTTTTTCACTTTTCCATTTCACTATTTTTGTTACCCACACTTTTTTTTTTTTTTACTTCCACCGCTCCAAGCTTGCTCCTGTGATGGACTGCAATCTCAATACAAACTATAAGTCCCATCACTGGAGCCATTTTTTAAAATGTATTTTATTTTTTAACCAATTAACCGAACTTAACAATCGGCTAATTAATCGATTTTGAAAATAATCGTTAGCTGCAGCTCTAGATCCTGTGAGATCCTGAAACGTTGCACCTAGTGTTTGACTATGCAACATGTACGTAAATAAATAGACGTACTTGATCTGCCTTGGAGTGCCGGTGTCTATCTTTGCATTTTACAACACACGTGGACCATGGGGAACAAAAGTAGCCACCCTCCAGAAGGAAGGACAGTGTCGGCATGAATTCAGAGATGATTTGAAACTCTATAGCTGAGTGTTGCACAAATGAGCTACATTCTTGTTAATAGTTATAGTACTTGAATACATTTTAAGTTTTAACTCCTGTAGAGCTGCAGCTAACGATTATTTTCAAAATCGATTAGTTAGCCGATTATTAAGTTCGATTAATCGGTTAATCGGATAAACAATAAAATAAATTTTAAAAAATGGCTCCAGTGATGGACTACTAGTTTGTATTGAGATTGTAGTCCATCACAGGAGCAAGCTGGGAGCGGTGGAAGTAAAAAAGAAAAAAAAAAGTGAGGTGTGCAATATAGTGAAATTAAAAGTGTACAATTATACAGCAATGAATGGCACTGGCTATAGAGGACTACAAATCCCAGCAATAGTACATTATAGCTGGCTGTATTCTGCATTGCGCTGTATAATGTACTATTGCTGGGTTTTGTTGTACTCCTCTATAGCTGGTGGTATTCTGCATTGCGCTGTATAATATATTATTGCTGGGATTTGTAGTCCTCTATACAGCGCAATGCAGAATACCACCAGCTATAGAGGAGTACAACAAATCCCAGCAATAGTACACTATACATACTGTGTATAAATTATTGCTGGGATTTGTATTCCTCTGTATAATATAAAGCACAATGTACCATCAGCTATAGAGGAATACAGATCCCAGCAATACATTATAGAGCACCATGTGTGGGAAAGTGCAGGCTTACCTGAGCAGTCTTCCAGCAACTTGTTTCTTAGATTGGGCCTGTCTATCGGCGGCTGTCATCCGCCCACACCTGCTCCTCCTTCTTCTCCCCACGTCCCTGTGCCGATCGTGGATTTGGGAGGGTGGTGAGCGTAAGGCGGGGAGGAGGTGCGGAGCGTGGATGTGGGCAGGCGAATCCGGTAGCGGCGAGCATGAGGTAGGAAGGAGGTGTGGAGCGCAGCGTGTGTGGAGCCGTGAACAGGGCCAATCAATCAAGCCAATTGATGATTTAAAAAGTTGACAACCTTTTCAACAATCGATTATAATCGACTATGTCGATTAATTGTTTGCACCCCTAAACTCCTGAGTTTAGTATCATTTTAGAGGCTCAGTTTTGGTAACATATCTGGTTTATATTGATTCTAGTTAAATGCAGTATTCACTGTAAATTAATTATTGAATAATTGGTTTTCTGTTTTCTCTAGGATGGGGTTATACTTGGTGCTGACACAAGAGCCACTGAAGGGATGGTTGTAGCTGACAAGAACTGTTCAAAGATCCACTACATAGCCCAGAATGTCTAGTAAGTATGGCTAAAATCCAAAAAAACTAAGGACTTTGGTTATACAAATTCTATATAATGCTTAAAAAAAAAGTCCTCAGTGGCTTGTAGACTGTCCTTGCTTTTTTTTTTTTTTTTTTAATAAAAAAAAAAAGGTGTGTGTGTATATATGTATGCAACAGCCACGGTGATCTGTGAACTGGTGACAGAAGGGATGTCCATCATTTTAGAGAGATTTCCTCCTATTCAATGTTGCCTGGAACAGGAAGTGAAGGAAAATCTCACAAGGGTCTCAACCATCTCTTTCTCTATCCAAAACTAAAAACAAGTTTGGGCTTTACCTACACTTTAAATATGAAGATATCTAAATATCAAATTGTGAGGTAGCCCTGTATTTGTGAATACTCTTAAATTTATTAATACATAAGAATTGCATTGTTTTTTGTGTGTTTTGGTCGTCTTGTAGATGTTTTTTGTGAGAAAGGGTAAGCACAACCACTGTGTAGAGGGGACAATTAGAAAATATGGCTGCACATATTTACTAATATCATTATGAACTGATAGCATTTCTTCAAACTGATCTATTTTCTAATCTACCAAATAAACATTGGAAATGCTGTACATTCCACTTGTAGTTACTATGTCAGTTTGAAAAAAGCAAAGCTGCTAGCAGGTTTAAAGTGTACACACATAGAGCTGCTTAAAAGACTTGCATCAACTATTATTCCTTCCTCTGTGGCCAAATGCTGGGCCATTCCAAATAGGCACAGCTCAGACTCGTCTTAAAACGTGCCAGTGCCCTTCTGCCTCCATACATTCCTTTTACTATGATGGGCTGCCACACTGGCCAATAGGAATGTTTGAAGGCCTGGAGAAGGGTGGTCAAGTTCATGGACTATCAAATGCTGGAGCTCTGCCTAATCTAAATGGCCCTGGTGAAAAGGGAGCAATGAAAGCCGTTAGTAGGTTTATGCGGGCAACTCCAGGTGCCTGCACTTGACAGTTTCCAGCAGTTTTTGTTTTTTTAAGTGACAGTCACCTCACATACTCACATATTTCATAGGAGTGCATTGTCCATTGTCAACCTCACATCATTCTGTATATGTTTAGGTTTCTGAAAATTTTTTACACACCATAATTAATCTTTGTTTCCTAGTTGTTGTGGTGCCGGGACAGCAGCTGATACAGAAATGACCACCCAGATGATCTCTTCCAACATAGAGCTGCATTCACTCTCTACAGGGCGTGTGCCCAGAGTAGCAACCGCTAACCGCATGCTGAAGCAGATGCTGTTTAGGTAAGGAAAGTTTTCAAATGTCAAACTTTCATTAAACCTGTACTATCAAGAACTTGATTTAGGGCCTGTTCAAACGACGTCCATTTTCTGTGCTGACCGGCTCCGTACGCTCCTGCACTAAAAATGCATCCCAATGTATCCCTATGTGTTTTATGGGGTACAGTTCTCACATGCGCAGTCTGTTCAGGTTACGACAGAAAAAATACTGCATGTCACTTTTTGTCCGGTCAGGAACCAAAACGCGTCAAACGCACTGCAGCTAACACTGACAGCCCCACTCCAGCACAAAAAGGAAATTTTTTTTTTTAAAACTGGAACGCATGAAAAACGCGTCAAACGCACTGCATCAGTGACACCGTGTCTGCAGATCCGGACCTGATATCATGTGTACAGGCCCTAAGGCATGGGTCTCAAACCCCCAGGCCTCCAGCTGTGGTGAAACTACAAATCCCATGATGCATCTCTGTTCGGGAGTCATGTCTGTGGCTGTAAGAATCTTGCAATGCCTCATGGGATTTGTAGTTCCACCACAGCTGGAGGGCCGGAGGTTTGAGACCTCTTCCCTAAGGGAACACACTAACCTAAAAGCAAGTGTTAGGAGTAGCACAAACATATCATCTTCTTTCACCATTCCGAGTGCCTGAACATGGTCCAATTTCAAATGTGTGCCTCCAGCTCAGAAGTCAGAAATGTTCATATTTGTCAGTGCCTACATGTACATGTGTGCATCTGATTTGCGAGTTTATTGTGTTTATGTATGTACCCAGGGAGGCATAGGTGAGCCAAGGACCTTCCTCAGCTGGTAGTCGGGAGAAAAATTGTAGACAAACCGCCGGTGCAATGGAAGAGGCAATCAGGGTGGCTCTGTACCTTGTGATCTCTGTAAACCAATCACAGCAATTGTTAGTGTAACCGCTGGTTGCCACACAGCCAGCCCTCTTTCTTGTTAAAGCAGCAAGGAGAGGAAAGAGGATTGCTAATCTTCTGTGCAGTAAGTTATGTTTTTATACCATAATTGCCACTAACCCAGAAGTGGGCATATCTCAGGAGCCAGGTAGACAATGCTCCTTAAAAAATGACAGCTGGTGCCTAACTTTTGAGGTTTTCTCTAGTTTTTGTCAGTGGAGCTGGCTCCTGGATTGGACAGACTGCCTCCTGACTCCATAATTATTTGTCCACCCCTGCATTAACCACTGATTGGATGGGGGTGGGGAATGTTGCTAACACTGACCACTGATGGTTTGAGATAAGGGGTTTTTACTAGCATAGGGGAAGGTATTTTACTGTCATGGATGATTGTTTTGTGGGGGGGAGCAGGGGAGAGGGGGTTGGTTTATGCGCAACTGACTACCAATGATTATGAGATTGACATGATCCATGACATCTGCACTTGGCTTCTGTGCAACTGAAGGGCAACTTTTAAAGACTAAGCACAACTACTCTCATTTTAGGGTTTTTTGTACTGTCCTGGCATCTTTTATGTGCTATGTTTTATAATAAAGAGCAAGGGCAACAGTTTTTATTTTTAAAAATGTCTTTTTTTTTTTTTTTTATATAGCAAAAAATGTAAAACACACAGTGCTTAATAAATACTACCAAAAGAAAGCTCCCTCTGTCTAAAAATAGTTTTATAAAGTTCATTTGGGTACAGCGGTCAGTCGAGCTATCACAGCACTAAAGGCCTGGAAAGGAAGCCGGTGTAACATGTTGGTGTTGAGGTGGTTAAGGTTGTTGTATGGGTTACACAGTTCAGTTTTTGTTACATCCGCTTCAATTCATACCAGAGAAAATGGATTAACCCAGGGCAGGCCAAATCCCAGGAGCCAGGTCGCTGATGCTCCTTTAACTGCTTCCCATCCGCCGGGATCTCAAAAACAGCTGAACGGGAGCCTTCTAGATGCGGGTGGGTCTTATATGTATGTATCCACCCATGGTTTAACCTTGCAGAGAAGGCAGCTCACAAATGTATTTTAAAGGAGAATTATAAGGCGAATGATTTTCACTCAGCCTCATAATCTGAGCCGACCTGTGACAATGAAAATGTCACAGGTCGGCTCAGTAGATCGGGAAGTGAGCGAACACATACCGTCGCTCGCTCACTTCTCGATCTATCCCTGCAGAGAGCAGTGACTCACTCACGCCTCCCTGCAGGGATTCTCCCCTGTCCGATCCTCCTGTGCTGACTGGCGAAACGGACAGGGGAGGGGACGGGCACAGCTGGCTCTGCCTCTGGATAGGCAGAGCCAGCTGTCGATCCCGCAGCTGGATGGATCCAAACAGTATTGACGGGATCCGCCCCGGCTGCGGTGTCTCAGTATACCGCGAGCTGTAGGGAGAACGCTAGTTTGTGACCAACTGGGGGGGCGCTCTCCGATCAGCACCCCATACAAGCGATCCGCCGGCTCTAAACTCGTGGTGCGAGTGGGTGGGGCTAACAGGCCGTCTTTATACGGCCTGTTACTTCCAGGAGGCGGTTAAACAGGCCCGCTGCCAGTGATGTACTATGTATGTCAGTGAACACGAAGAGGTTAAAGCAGGTATCCACACTGTTGAGGTTTGATAATATATGTGTTAAGGCCCACCCATTTATTTTGGATGGAATTAAAATGACAACAAATAGACAGCTCATATATTAAAACTAAAAATGTGTAAATTGAGGAAAATAAAACATGAAACTGGTCCGTATCTCTAGTTGCAATTTTGATCAGTAAATAAATTCATTGATGTGTGTCACTCAGTACTCCAGGTGCAACCCCACCATCTACTGGACTGGAACTCATCAGAACTAGGGCTGCAACCAACTAATCGATTAGGAGAATAGTTGTCAACTATTCTCATTATTAGTTGGTTGGATCCCCTAGCTCTCTCCCCCACTCTGGGAGAAGGGCACAGCAAGCAGTGGGCGGGGCAATAGCCAGCCTGCAATTTGAAATGGCCAATAGCAGGCTGGCGATTGCACCAGTCCACTACCTGCTGTATTTACATTCTGCTGCCGTCTGCGGAATCAGTATAGATGGATATTCCACTGACAAATTGGTATGTTTTTGTAGCAGCATGTAGGTGTGCAATGCTCCAGAAAGAGGGCTTCTTATAGACAATTGTGGCTGTTATCTGGTACTAGCTTACTCTAGCTCTTCATACACGATAATGATCCAGTAGTGCTGGAGCACTGCACACGTATATGCTGTTACAATAGTGTGCTGATTTGTTAGTGGAATATGCATCGATATGGAGTTTAGGGCCATAGAGGGCAGAGTTTTGTTCCATGGAGAGAAGATGAAGTGCCTTGTGGCTTACCCATAAACCAGTGGGCATTCTGAGTTCCAGTAGGTAGTGGGGTTGTACTTGAAGTATCGAGTAAAACACATTGGTGGATTTATTTACTATTCAAGATGGCACCTAGCAATAACAACTGTTTCGGATTTTATTTTACTTTTTTTATGTTGTAATTACTGCACCATTACCCCAAACTTAGTGTGAGTACTGATATTTTTCCTCAAGTACTGACCGATACCAAATGCCGATCCTTCTTCTTTCTTTTTTTTTATACATTGGTATGTGTCTGTTTTTCTAAAACAATATAGACTAACGATTTTAGGACAGTGGTGGAGTGCCAGGGCCCAGTCGCAGCTGCAACTTCTGCGACCCTGGTAGTTCTGCCACTGACCTCAAGCTGTAGAGGCACTACAAATCCCGGTAATGCATTATAAGGCAATGCAGAATAATATGAAGCTACATACTGTGTTGCCCATCAGGGCTGTGCGGGCAGCACGAAGGAGGGGGTGGAGATGAATGGCTGGACCGGCGCTGTAAAAGACAGCTGCCGTGAGGTCCCCAGCAAGAGTGGGATCTTAAGGCAGCGGATCCTGGTTCAAAATTTAAAGGGCCGATATCGGCCTTTAGTATCGGGGCATGTTCACGAGTACGGCACTGATACCTGTATCCGTGCATCCCTAGTAATTACATCTGCTGCCTATATTTTTTTTGTCATTTGGATATCCTTTAAGGTGTACACCACATATTTAAGGTATTTATGTACATGTAATAGTTACCTACATAATCCACAGAAAGGATGTCCTGGAGCTGGAGAGAGTCCAGAGAAGGGCAACTAAATTAACGGATCATGGAGGATCAAAGCTATGAGACAAGGTTACTAGATTTAGACTTGTTCACACTAGAAGTGAGGCGATTAAGAGGGGACATGATTTTAATGTACAAAATGTTTGGTGGTGATGGCAACATCAGCAATAAACTTTTTACTCAACTCCCTAACAAGGACTAGAGGCCACCACCTAAAATTGGTGGCGAAAAGATTTTACTGCAAAGAGCGTAAGGGCTTCTCAGTCAGAGTGGATAGATTTTGGAACTGCCACAAGCAGTAGTATCAGCAGTGAGTATTGAATCATTTAAAAATCAATTGGATACCTTCCTCAGAGACCGTCACATACAGGGGTACAGGTACTCTTAAATCCTTAAACCCCAAGGAACTCATATACACACACATGCACGCACTAAACACACACTTACACATAAAGGTTGAACTTGATGGACCTGTGTCTTTATTCCACCTCAAATACTATGTAATAACAATATGGTGCTACTATATGTATTTGTAAGTTGAACTTTAGATGGAATGTCGGTGCATAGCATTGCAGGTTAAGGACCTGCACAAATTGTCCACATCTTTACATTGGGGTGCACTAAAATGCTGGTGCGTTATATTGGGTGCCATTCAAAATATATTGCATTGAATTGTGTTGCAGTAAAACATCTGTTTTACTGCGAATTATCAGAAGGCACGCATGTAATTCTGACCTAAAAGTTAATGTTCCCCTTTTTCCGGATAAAGCAGCAGGTTTTCTTAACTTCCTCCCTCCCCATCAGCACAAACTTTCTCTTCACCTGATGCTTCGCTTTGGCTGTTGGGAGCGCAGAGAAATAATCTGAGGCAAGTTCAGTTCCTTAGCCAAACGCAGAGTAGTTGTTCTGCAGCAGCTTCA